AGGAACAGCTTTATACCAGAAGAACCTGGTTCCTGCAGGTGGATGTTGAACCTCACAGCTCAGAGTCACTGAGGCTCCAGGACTCAGCCATGATGGAGACACAGAGACTTTATCTGTTGGAGAGAGTTTTTCTATGTCAATAAAAGGCTTCAGTTTAAAGAAAAATATCTCTTATATAATAACTCAGTGTAATTAGAGAATTCTAAATGTTTTACCAGACAGTTGGTAAAACATTTTATTCCTCTTGCGTTTCTGCATTTTATGAATGAATTCATGCAGTTCTAACTTTGAAATATTTCATTTTCTCAAACCCTCTGAAATGACTCAATGAGAAAATTAGTTTTTATTTATGTTAGCTATTCTTGTGTAATTGTCAAAAATATACCTTTAACTAAAGGTTTGTACCTTGAAACTAAGAAAGTTCTGGGAGGAAACAGACATTTGTGCTCAACCTATAACATATTTTAATTAAAATATCAGTCGTTTTGTATCTGTAAGGAGGAAGTGGGTTGGTAATCCAAAGAATCAGACAAACTAGTTTAAAGAACAAACATTGGTAATGAAGAAAACCTTAATCTTTTAACTAATTATCACTTATTTGCATCAAACACATTAGAAAATGTGTAATAATGTTTTTATATGAAAGATTTATGACCAACTTACACACAGTTAATATGACAACATCGCTCCAGGCTGTTGAGTCACTCCCATTAGTTCCTCTGCAGCTGTATTCTCCACTATGAGACTCATTAGCTGAATGTATGTTAATGTATTCATTGGATGTTTCAGGTTTATTTAACCTGGTTGGTCTCCATTCATATGTCCATTTTATTCCTTCTCCTCCTGGGATCCGACAGTGGAGAATACATTTCTCACCTTTGTATATCAGAGGCCCGTTTGGATTCAGGACCACAGTGGCTTGAATGGGACCTGTTCACATAAACAACATGAATGTATTAGTTTAAAAGAAACATTAAGTCAACAAAAATATATATATATTTTTGATATATCTTTTGATTTAAAAAAATATATATCATCATTCATCAAGTTCATCAAGTTGAATGAAGACTAAAATAGAGCTCTCTGTCTATTTCCACTTAGATCCTCCACCAACCAAAGCAACTAAACTCCATTTAGTTGAGTTTTGCTTGGAAATCACATTTGTTACATAATGTATTAAATAAATAAATATCCCTGAACATATTATGTTAAAAACTGTACATTATGACTGTAAACAATGATGTCTAAGATTTTAAAATGTCCTGCTACGTTATTTTATAATGTATTTAGTGGTTTTAAGTGTGAATGTAATATGACGGTTATGATGTTTGGATTTTGCAGCAGCCAGCGTCTGAAACCAAGACAAGTTTCTTTTGGGACTATAAAATTTGTCTCACCTTATGTTCATTTTACATTTTATTAAATTTATAACATTACTTTTTTAAAAGTTCCACACAGAAACATCAGATAATACTGCATGAAATAATCTGCTGGAATAATTCTTCATTTTCTTCAGGCATGTGGAGCATAAATCAGTTTTTAATTCTGGTTAATCCTTTTTTCAGCTCTTGACAGACCCATTAAGTTTTCTGTAAATTTCTATTTTTACATTGAAGTGAAAAGTGAATAAATGTAAAAATGTGATGTAAATTTTCAATCAATACGACAGACCTCGACTACTTTTCAGGGAAGGATTAAAACAAAGTTGATCAAACTTATAATCAGACTTATTAGATTATTCTGAACTATATCTGTAATTAGGAGCTAATGATTCTGACCATCTATACTCTGCTACTGTCTCACTATTCTCAGTTACTCATTATCTACAGTTATTGCTGCCATTAACTTCATGTTCTCCCTCCACTTTTATGAATTATGTGTAGCTTTCTCACCCTGTTCTAATAAATGACCATGATTAATAAACAAGAGGTTATTTATCTATTATTCAACACAAAATCAATAAAGTACTATTTTGACAAAAAGACAGTTATGTCAACATATTTTCCCACAGGCGGCCTCTGATATCGTTTACCTCTTTTTCAAATGTAAATGCATTAATAAATATTCTGTTAAAATCAATGCAACAAATTATAACAGAGGCCCGAAAGAGACACTGAAGGAAAAAAAGAAAAAGAAGAAAAACGTTCTCATGTGCACCAGACACCTGATGGCATCTGATGTGGAACCAGATATCGTCCTGTTCATGTCACATATTATCTGGTGCGCAGAAGAAATTTAAATTTTTATTTTCACTTCAATGTCCCTCTAGGGGCTCCATACATTCTCAACTAGAGATTGTTAAATATTATGTTTGCAGTTGGTTTAAAGAGGGTTAAGGATGCCATTCACAAAAATAATGAATCTGGTTAATTTAGCAAACTGTGACTTTTATGTTGGAATATTATGTACTATACAGAATGTGATGCATTATGTTGTTTCTTTTTGTCTTCTATTTGAGAAATCGCACATCTCAGAAACATGCAGCAGTCTTTGAGGTTAGACGTCTCATCACTCCTACAGTTACATAAACCTTTCATTCATCACATCATCTAAAACTCTACAAATTATAACAAAATCTCAATTTATATAAAAATACTAAAGCTGCATCCACAGCTAAGATCCATTGTGTTATTCTAGTCA